GAGAGTCAAGTGGAGATGGTAGTGTTTTGGAGAGTTAGTGTTTGGGACTTTTCTTGGTGATTTGGAAGAGTCGGTATGCGATTGATTATTTTCGGACGTATTGTTTTGGTGTTGGGATTTTGAATTTTGTCTTGGTTTTGATTGTGTTTTGGGATGAACTGGTATGAGAAGGATGACTTTGATATTTTGTCGGAGCATGACGATGCATACGAGCAGGGGGGCTATTCGATATACTCGTAGCATAGCATGGGGGTGGTATATTGCGTATACATATGCGGGATTTGCAGTGACGAACTACGGAGGAAGAAGAAGTTTCTTTATGTTTTCCTTGGGAGTGTGGTAGATTGGTGGACATTCACGGAGATTCGTTTTGGGTGTTTGAGCGTTATGCGTGACTTGATGCCGTGATGGAATGACGAGCTCAAGCACGCCCCCGATGAATACAACACGTTTTCCAACACGTCTGCACGACTTTACCTACTACCCCTACGGCCCGTCATGGCCGAGCTGCTCTACACTCCCATCACACACAACTGAGCCACCCGAATTATCGATCAGACTCAATGGGAAAAGGCATTGTCCCCACCTTGACGCGTTAATGTATCAGATGGAGAGAGCGGACGCTGTGCTGGAGTATTGCCAGGCGGCCCTAGCGCTTAAACCGTGGGCGGTCCAGTTCGAGGGTCGGGGGTGGGCAAAGGAAAGAGAAAAGGAGCCGTTTGGGCCGACGAATGTAGTCTCCGTCCTGTCTACGAATGCTGTTCTCACAGCCGGCGGGAAAGTGCGGATAGTGTCCTGTACATGCCAACCAAGAACCGCCACCACCCACAGATGCAAGAATTGCAAGTGCGGAAAGGCTGGACAAAAGTGCATCGCAGGCCATTGCGCATGCACTTTGGTGTGCCAGGATCCTGTGCCGGCCGTCGCGCAACGGGAAGGGGATGGACCACCAGTTGGGTGGATGGTGTCTGGCGTCGTTAGACCATCAGTTTTTGTTGCTGCAATTCAACCCCCCTTTTCCGTTCAGGCAAAGCCGCCGTCACTTGTCGTCTCGGCTGTCCACCATCACCCTACCCAATCGGGACCGATGTTCACACTCCCGCCTTAAATAAAAAAAAAATAACCTCCACATTCATTATCATGCTGCCCGATTTTTCTCCATTCCCCATTCCCTTCTTTGCTCATTGCTTCCAACACTTGCAGCCAGCAACCATCCCGGCGGCGCCGCTGGCGCTGTCAATCCTCCCGTCACCAACACACGTCGACGTTCATCTCGGGAAATCGAAAGAGCACTCCACGCCTTCACCGGCGAGCCCGACACGGGTAAGGAACAAAAAACTGCATGTTGACTAGACCCTGTCTAGGTTTGCAATGTGACGGGCACCATATTTTCCGTCATGTGTCTGCGGGGCTATCAACCACACCGAACTTGTATGGGCATATACTTTTTTGTTGTTGCCAGGCACACCCTTCGTTCTACGTTCGTAAGACTTCACTGCAGTTGGCGCTCTCCGCTTCCTTTGATGTGCGTGTTTCAGATGACGACTCCCAGGAGGGCGACAGGGATTCGAACGCAAGCGACAATGACAGCGACGTCATCGAGGACGACCCACACGATGACTACGACTACGCCGACGGCGAGGAATATTCCGATGGCCAACCATATTAGGTACCCCGTGATGTTGATTGAGGAAGGCACTTGCGTACGACTGACATTTGGGGAAGTGGTGTTTTTGCTGGACGTGTGAGGGATGCGGCGGCTATGGCATTCTCCTCTCGTATTTTCGAGGCCGACGTCCAAACGGGCCCAACTTACGCCACGAACATTTTGAGGAGCTGAGTGTTTTGACTCGTACTTTTTGCCCCTTCGATGCCCGGATGAGTCTCCCAAGACAGGTTTGGCTGTGGCTTTCGGGGGGCGGCCTTCGCCGAGGCTGTAGTAGGGGGAGTGTGTCACCCGGGCGGTGGGCGGGGGGGAGGGAGGTTTGTTCCGTTCCTCGCAGACGACGGGAGGGGCTAAACCGCTTCACTGGCTGGCTTGGTAAGGTGCTGTGTCCACCATGATGTGCTCAACAGGCTTTTTCAGACATTTCAAAGTGTACCGTGGTGTCTTGAGCGGTTGCATTGCGTGATCCACTTGTGTGCAGGGGTGGACTTTCGCGTTTGTTGCAGATGTGCGAGCATGACCGAAAATGTTGGACGTCATGATATGGGACAAGCGTGCGTGCGTGGTTTGTGTGACGTGCTAGTGGCAGGGATGATGTTTGCCCCACATTTACCACCATTCGGGAGTTCGTGCTGGTGGGTGTTTTGACGAAGAACATTGTACTTTCAGCCTCATGCAGCAGTCCAACTCCATCATTTTCAACATCATGTCCACATTACGGTTCGTATCGCCGATGGCCATGCACATGATACCATCACTCGTGGTTAACACAAGGAAAACGTTACACTTTACACAAAAGACCAAAGGGTTCAGCTGCACGCATCGAAAAAGAACGCCTGCCCGGGACGTTCCACGCCGTCGCTTGCAAGGTGCCAAATAAACCACGCCTCCGTAGATGAGCACACGCGGCCGCAGTACGTCGCGCGGGGAAGCACAACCACCGCACTTGGAGGGTTGTCTTTCAGCCACTTCCCCCGTGTTTTGGTGGGCTCCAGGAACGACAGCCTGAGCTTAAACGCCACGCCCACTCTTACTACCCCCAACGCCCGGACCAAGATGCTGAATGCGTTGCCATAGGGCGGACTCGTAACGATCCAATCAGGACGCTGCCCCTCCGTGCTAAACATCGCTGTAAATTCCTCCGACGTCGCGTCCAAATGGGTATCCGCTGTCAACCTGCGAGGAGAACCAAGGGGAAGAGGATAGCTGTAATACACAAACACGTGCTGCGTATTTTCGGGTGGCACGGCGGTGTGCAGCGAGGACTGCGGTCTCCTCTAAGGCATACCGATTCGGCCAAAGAAAGAAGAAAAGATCGGGGAAGGGCCATGCTCCCGATAGCGTTGCCAGTAGGTTGACTACCATCGCCACGTGGTGGCCCGACCAAACCAACACACTATCTGATTATTTCACATACACAGCACTGGGCTTCCTAATTTTATTATTCCGGAATTGCATGACGAGTGTCAACATGAAGAGGAAGTGCGTGTCCACAGGGTGGATAGAAAAGGTGGGCCGCGGTATCTCGGGATCAAATCTCTGAAGCATGCGTGGAGCACACACTTGCAACACAACAAACTCAACATACCGGGGATTGAAGTCGTTCGTGGAAACGTTTAAGCTGTGGGCTTCCAGGACCACCTTGATAGCATCGCTTGCCGAGCCACACGCATCCAGCACTCCTCCCGCCAATTTAACATTCAACAGGAGGGCATCCACCTGCGAAACGCGTGATCAGAGCGTGTGTGGCGGGGTCCGAAGCAGGCATAAGACGGGATCTGGCTGTTGTTGCTCAATTGAAATTATTGCCGAGGGGACTACACCTCCAGCATCCTACATACGCGTAGAAGGGAGACCAAATAGGCATGCACAGCAGAGTTGGCAGAGTTCCGTGCAAATGGCAGGGTTCGGTATCCTCACTCACTTGCTTCCGGGTGGACGGGTAGCGCCCCGTTGGGGACGACTGGCCCGCGCTCATGACATCCCAGGAGCCATTTTTATCCTTCGCTGACTGTGCGGAAAAGGGAATACATGTTGCACGCACAGTCCCTTCGCACGCACAAGCACTCCCCTGCCGCAAGAGGCTCCTTCGGTAGGTCTCGTGTGTGCGCCCACACACTGCCGACTTGCGCAGACCATTCTCCGATTGCCGACCAGTAGGAGGTGCTGCACACGTGCTTCCAACTACCACCACCATCATCGCGAGCGCCTGGCCTACCGCAGGCGAAGCAGACAGGAGTGTCTTCTGGCGCATTCACCTTCCCATGTACGACGCGACCGCAAGCTGCCAATTTGGCCATGCCGCAAATGGCGGGAAACGGTGGGCTGGGGACACCCACCTTCAACCCGAATTTCTCCACACACCCGCAACTTAAACACCACCCAACAACTTGTTTTCTGGGAAGCCAGGGACATAAACTCTAGTTTCCACCCTCTTCCGGGGCGTAACAGTGCGGCGACTCTAAGCTTGGTGCACGCTCTCACACCGACCTCTGCCCGTTGGAAATACGTCACTCAGGTAGCTCCGGCGGCCATACACAACAGTGCACTGCAGCCTATCCTCCAAAAGAGCATCAGCTCTTTTCACAGGAGCTAGACAGCAGATTCTCGACGCTCAGGGGGTGGTGGAGGCTGGGTAGGGCGTGTTATCGACGCTGAGGTGGGTGGCCGTTGACGGGGGGATCATTTACGGAAAATCCCGCAATGCAGAAAAGCCTCCCAACAACTTGTTTTCTGGGAAGCCAGGGACCTAAACTCTAGTTTCCACCCTCTTCCGGGGCGTAACAGTGCGGCGACTCTAAGCTTGGTGCACGCTCTCACACCGACCTCTGCCCGTTGGAAATACGTCACTCAGGTAGCTCCGGCGGCCATACACAACAGTGCACTGCAGCCTATCCTCCAAAAGAGCATCAGCTCTTTTCACAGGAGCTAGACAGCAGATTCTCGACGCTCAGGGGGTGGTGGAGGCTGGGTAGGGCGTGTTATCGACGCTGAGGTGGGTGGCCGTTGACGGGGGGATCATTTACGGAAAATCCCGCAATGCAGAAAAGCCTCCCAACAACTTGTTTTCTGGGAAGCCAGGGACCTAAACTCTAGTTTCCACCCTCTTCCGGACGTAACAGTGCGGCGACTCTAAGCTTGGTGCACGCTCTCACACCGACCTCTGCCCGTTGGGGATACGTCACTCAGGTAGCTCCGGCGGCCATACACAACAGTGCACTGCAGCCTATCCTCCAAAAGAGCATCAGCTCTTTTCACAGGAGCTAGACAGCAGATTCTCGACGCTCAGCGGGTGGTGGAGGCTGGGTAGGGGGTGTTATCGACGCTGAGGTGGGTGGCCGTTGACGGAGGGATCATTTACGTAAAATCCCGCAATGCAGAAAAGCCTCCATCTCTCTTCTCGCATCTGTTTCGGCATCTATTTTTTCGTTGATGCAACACACACCTCCATTCATCTACCATTTTGACAGCTTTGTGGCTTGAGACAACCAGTGGCGACCCGTGGGTTGTTGCACAACGAGAAACGGTGGACAATTGACAACGCATCATCTGAAAAGGGTGCCGAAAACCCGGGTGCGGCGGAACCTCGACAAATAGCACTGCCGTATTGTCATCTCGACCTTCTTCAAGAGGGCCTGTGCGCATTTCCACCACTCCTCATCCTTAGCCTTCTTGGCCGAGTGCTTGGACGCTAAGTGCTTCGGTATGAGCCGCCACAAAAGCTCCCTCTCTCCCTGCTGAGTCCACCACCGCGGGCCTGTCTCTGATCAGGAATGCAAGGCAAACGAGAGTTGGGGTACAGCATTTAGGGTGATGGACGTCGTACATTAGCCACGACTTGAAGGGGTTGGGTCGCCACTCACTTCACGGGAGGCGCCCCACCGAAGTACAGCACTGCGCTTTGTTTCTTTGTACAAAATATGGCATTGCGGATTCCACATCCTGCATTCGATTCGAAGCTAAAGTTTGCAAAGAATTGAAGTTTTCAGGTTGTTCTCTGTAATTTTTTTCTACTGCACGCACATCTCAACCATTGCCGCCGCGAAGCAAACACAGTGAGTCAAGCACGCCTACTGGAAACTTATTGGGAAACGGACACCACGCATGCCACAAGGGTACATGGTTGAGGGAACATCACGATGTGCAGGTGCCTAATAACGTACAGGATCCAAAACCTACACCGTTTTTCACAGAGGGCGCATGAAAACAGAAATACATGTGTACATGTTTTCAGTCCTCTCACAAGTCCTCTCAGAAGGGCGCACGATCATCGACACCCACTACATCCTTCGAGCACACACCTTTGCAAGAGCTTTCCTCCTCAGGCCCAGGCTCNGCCGCGAAGCAAACACAGTGAGTCAAGCACGCCTACTGGAAACTTATTGGGAAACGGACACCACGCATGCCACAAGGGTACATGGTTGAGGGAACATCACGATGTGCAGGTGCCTAATAACGTACAGGATCCAAAACCTACACCGTTTTTCACAGAGGGCGCATGAAAACAGAAATACATGTGTACATGTTTTCAGTCCTCTCACAAGTCCTCTCAGAAGGGCGCACAATCATCGACACCGACTACATCCTTCGAGCACACACCTTTGCCAGAGCTTTCCTCCTCAGGCCCAGGCTTTCTCCTCTCCGGCTCCTTCCACTTGCCGTCTCCGCCCTCACTACTACCCCCGGTGTCCGGCGAGGACTCTCCCCCCGCCTGATCACTGGCGCCGCTGCCTTGGCTTCAACTGACGAGAAGCGGTGACCCGAAAGAACCGCCGCTGCCGTCGTCCTTCCCGCCGGCCGCACGGCTGAAACGCTGGGGAACAGGCTGAACGTACTTCGTCTCGCACCCCTCGTCTTCGGGTGCACTCGTTCGCTTCGGGGTGCGCGGGGACTTCCTGCGGCTAGCTGATGACGCGATCCTCCCGGACTGCGGGCAGTTGAGACCACTCGCAGGTGAAGAGGTAGGCGAGAAGCTCGCATCATCTTCCTTCGGACANCTGGAGGCGTTTTTTGTTATGGCAGGAGTTTCTTTCCTGCCATCTATGGCAGATTCCCGGGCGCCGCTTCCCGCCGGCCGCACGGCTGAAACGCTGGGGAACACGCTGAACGCACTTCGTCTCGCACCCCTCGTCTTCGGGTGCACTCGTTCGCTTGGGGGTGCGCGGGGACTTCCTGCGGCTAGCTGATGACGCGATCCCCCCGATCTTCGGGGAGTTGAGACCACTCGCAGGTGACGAGGTAGGCGACAAGCTCGCATCATCTTCCTTCGGACACCGGCGGTCGCGGATTCGAGGCGACGAACGCTGCGGCTGACGCATCCTCGGCTTCCCCGGGGTGGTGTGGACACTGAACATGTCCGGCTCCGAGTCCGTCTCGTACAAGAGAGTCGAGTTGTTATCCGTGCTCAGGTGAGTCAAGTCTAACACGCCGTCGCTGCTGTCGCCTATGCAACCAGAAAGAACTCCGTGACCGCCACACTTGGCGTGCCCGCGAAAGCGAAATCAGCAATACACAGCGCCCGCCTCGCTCTTGGCGCGTGCGCGGCGCGGCGCAGGGTTCCTGCGCCGCCGTGATCACGAGTACTCTGTAATCACGACCAAGGCACTCCTCGCTGTACGCGCTTTGATCTCGGTTCAATCAAGAGGAGGACGTGACGACTTCCACCCGCAAGAAAACACCTCTTCTCCAGAAGAAATCACTCTCCCAGCGGAACCCACCGAAGGACACGTCCACACCCACTGATGCACAAGACTCCCAGCTGCCTCGCCACTGGTTGTTGCGCGCAACTGCTGTAGGAACGACTCATCTCTCGCCATGTACCGCTTCGCCTCCCGAACACGCAAAAACTGAACAGGTGAAATACAAAGGGGCTTTCTTTTCCATTTGTATTTCACCTGTTCAGTTCTTGCGTGTTCGGGAGGCGAAGCGGTACATGGCGAGATCGAGTCGTTCCTACAGTTCGGGGTGCCAATCGGGGCGATTTTGGCGGCAAAAAGNTCCCAGCGGAACCCACCGAAGGACACGTCCACACCCGCTGATGCACAAGACTCCCAGCTGCCTCGCCACTGGTTGTTGCGCGCAACTACTGTTAGAGGTGCCAATCGGTCAAATTTCCTATAGGAAAAAATTTCGAAAAGTGTCCTGGATCTTCCAGATGGAAAATCGCTCGAGCCAGTAGAACCACGTCGAACGCTCCAAAGAACCCCGCCAGAACCAAAAAACACCTGACGCCCCGCGAGCGCGAAGCGTGTGTGAACGCGTTCCGCCGTGCCGTGGAGGTTGCACACGGCACCCTAGCGGCACCCTAGCGCCGTCCGCAACCTAGCAAACATGCCTGGTGGCTCACTCGAACAGCCGCCGGGCGGTGGGACTGCGCGGACTCCTCCTGCTGGAGGAAGCAGTGCTCTNATCCTCCGTACTTTGTATAAGTAGCTCTGCGTCCAGGCAGCGACGTGGCTCTTCATACGTTGCACACATCTGGACACAAGTCCAGTAGGACACTGCAAGCTCGGTTTATGCTGAAGTTTATACGGCGGATGAACAACCCAGAAAAACCTACGAATTTCAGCTGTATGGCCAATGCCCGAGGCCGCCTCTGACTTTCTTGAGAAAGNCCGCTCGGTAAGGGTTCGTGGCACGAGTGGGGGACCTCGCATGTTTTCTCGCTCCTCGGCATGGTCTGGTACAACACGAGCAGATCAAATTCCTCGAACACGAATTTTCTGCGATGGCAGAAGCTCGTTGCAGACGAGTTTCCCGCCGCGAAGCCATGGACCAAAAAGTTCATAAAGCCGGCTGAAACGCGATGGATGGTCGTGATGGACGGTGCCAAGATCCTCTTTGAGCGCTGGGATGAGGTCGCGTGGCTTTTTGGCGAGTGGGCGGCATGCAACATCGGCAAAACCACGTACAGAAATTACTGGCTAAAATCCGCGGTCGCGCTTCAAGACCCGCTGATGCTTGTGCAAGTGATGTTTGCGGCACGTCTTGGAGAGCTTGTGTTCGACTGGGCGTACAACTGGATTCGTGGCAAGGGGGGGTTCTTTCTGAAGTGCGAGGGAGTTGGTCGGCGGCTGTTTCCTGGGATGCGGCTGGTCGAGGTGGCTGACTTCTCGCGGCTGCTGCTGCAAAAAGTGGAGACTATCCGCAAGGAGCCCAAGACCTATTTTCGGGTGCT